AGAAAATTTGCGAAAAACCGCGTACTCTGATGTATTAGAAAGTCGGGGTGTTACAAGCACGCCTTTCTCAGAGTTCGTCCGGTTCGCGGAGTTGTGCGATTCGGAAAGAGAGGGAAGCTGCACCCTCGTTTCATTGGTCCGTTCGAGGTTATCGAGCGAGTAGGCGAGGTCGCGTATCGTCTAGCCCTACCTCCCGAATTATCAGGCATTCATAATGTATTTCACGCATCGATGTTGCGTAAGTACGTGTGCGACCCCGATCATGTTATTCCTCATACGGATATTCAAGTTCAGCCAGATCTATCGTACGAAGAGCGACCGGTAGCTGTACTAGACCGTCAGGTTCGTCGGCTCCGGAAGCGAGATATTCCCCTCGTGCGCATTCAGTGGGATCGCCACGGAGCTACTTGGGAGGAAGAGTCCAACATTCGCGCTCGTTTCCCAGACTCTCAGTTTTGATGTACATATTTCTTATCTTATGTACATAGTTCATGTATATCAGCTATGTTTTAAATTTCCGAGGACGGAAATTTTGTAAGGAGGGAGGATTGTAATATCCCGATATTTTATCGGTATAAATTACGTTTAGTTCCGATATAATAACGTTATCGTTTATTATTTCCGGAATTAATTATTTTCAGTCGGAATTACCGAAATCTATTTTCGACGTACCGTTTACGTTCGGAATAATTTTGGTAATTAAGCATCATGTTTAATTAATAATTAAACTTAGATAAGTGATTAATTAATGTTAATCACTATAGTAAGCCCAAATGCCGTGAGCTACCGTTCCATTAGGGAAACTAATTTCTCCCTCACTTGTGGTCGTAACACATGGTGGATTAAGAGCTATATTAGTCATCATAAACCTCACCATTGTTTAGCAAATGTAAGGGCCAAGAGTGGCCACGTTTCATTCACGTCATCAACACCATCGGCCATCATATATATATAGGTGTTGGACGGGAAAATTTTCATCTTTTTCTCCTCTATATCTTCAGCATATTGGCCCTTAGAATAATTTCATATTCAGTAAGCAATTTCCCTCAAATTTTACTTCAAATCCCACGGCAAGTGAAGGTCCGCACGGAGTACACGCGAGGAAGAGACCACGCCCTATTTTCCGATTTCGATCGTTCAATCAGAGAGGTAATCCCTTCTTCAACTTATATTAATGTTGACAAGGTCATTTTAAGGTTAAGTGTTCGATCGATTTACGAGAATTTTAAGTAAAGCCATGTGTTTAGCCGTACATGCTTAAGTAAGATCATCACCGAGTAATTCTCGATTTTTCCCGGCAACTCTTGAGCTATTGATGTCTAAATGTTCAGTTTATATTATTTCATGATCAGTCAAGTCCCAAATTGTTGAAACAAAATGAGTATTATCGAGAAAAGGGCCCGGCCGTTGCCAGCGCCTATCGCGTGGCCTCGGGTGGCCTCGGGCCGTGTCATGTACCTTCAGTAACCAGCATGTTCTGTCCATATGGTTAGGTTTTAAAATGATGTCCATGTCATGTTTTGCGGAGGTTGCCGTGGAAAAGGTAGTTCGGCCGAGAGACGGCGTATAGCCGTCGGCGGCGCACGGCGCGCTCGCCACGGCCTTTCATGTTCAGTACGCATCTATTACGTTTTCAGGTTTTGGTTAATAAGTGCATTCATGTTCAATCATGTTAAGTTTAGTAATATTCAGTTTTGGTCGGAGACTAGCCGAAGGTCGTAGGCCTCGCACATAGCGAGCGCACCACGGCCGAGGGTTTGGTTCAGTAAGACAATCAACAATTTCTGTTTAAATTCGGTTTATTGTGCATGTTAGGTCATAACATGTTTAATTAAGTCAGTTTGGTTAGAGGAGTTC